CGAAGTTAGCATGCTGAACTCAATGTATTTTATGCAGTTCAAGCTGTGGGTGCAAATGGGGTTATTTGATTTCAACAGTTATTCAGTTTACCATGGAATATATCAAAATATGACTCTGTAGGTCTCCATCTGTACTTATCTGCTCTAACTCAGACTACAATGGGTTAGCAGAACCTGAAGTACATCACTCTTTTTCCCTTCAGAATGTAAGCATGGTATTAAATGAGTATCCCCCCGACATGAACGGGTTAAATCTAATTCCACTGCACATGTAGAAGGTTTTGAAATACACATACTGAAATCTAGATTAAAAAAAGGCATGCAATTGTATTTTCAACAAAATCAAGAAACAGAGGTATATGTTGGAAAACTAAGGTGGCAGGACAGAGGGTGGAGGTAATTATCATAAAGTTAAAAACAGACTTCTCCCCAGGGCTACTCTGAACGCTTCAGTTAACAGGATAAAGAAGTAAAAACATCCTTTTTTCCCTGTATATAAAATTCAGTCAGTTCTTAAACTGTTCTAAGAACTGTTTGTAGATAAAGCATAGTAGATAAAGGTAGGTGGGAAGAAACCTGAAGGAAAGTGATAAAATGATAACATTTGGAAGTCACAAGGGAAGAATAGAGAACAATAAAACAATGTACTTCAAGAAACTCAGTGCAGATCTGAATCTCTTCAGACAGTGAGAGCTGAACAATGAATAATATGTGGGCAACAGAATTTTTATGCTTGGTGTTCTTCCTTCTAAGTTTAAATTGACTTATCCTGTTGAAATTTCCATGACTTGGAGCAGGCTGAAGCAACTGCAGATTCCAAACAGTAATCTTTTATAATTCATGCAAGACAATCACACATCAGAAAACAAAGAAAAGTATGTCTTTCAACAGGATAAATGAACATCTTGGGATAAAGACAGCAGCTTACTAAGAGTTTCCTGAGATACTTGAATGAATAATTCAAGACAGTATTTGTAAGCATTGAAATTTTAGTAGGGATATTAACAACTAACAAACATTTGTTAAATGTACATTGAGTGACATCTACTTGCATAGTTTATTTAAGAACATAATAGGCTTTTAAGAGTAATAGAGAACACTTGAAATCACATAGCTAGACTTCAGTAATAGTTCTGACCCGTTAGATGGCTCTCAGAAAGTCTAGAGAACAATGCGCAAGAAATAAAAGCAGTTGTACAAGTGCAGAACTTCCTGCAAAAATCAGCTGCTCAGTAAGTGATGAAGAGTTAAACCAAATACCAATGAGTTAATACCTAATACCAAAGCCAGCAGGGCAAAGGCCTCACTAGCTAGCATCACAACACCCAAGCAGAACAGAACCAGGGAAAACAGCCAGGTGCAACTGGAAGTATGGATCAACAGACACATCCATGGTGTAGGCCAAGCCAGAAAACCAAATCACAGGTTACATTCAGAGAGAGTAACCAGTATCAGATGCAGCCCGGCAATCACAATACAGATTCAGACTGATAAAGCAAGACCAAAAAAATAACACCATGAATCAAGAACAGAAGAATCTTCAGATAAACCCAGCTATACGTTAGCAGGAGCCAGCATAGATCCCCATGGCCTATAGGCATGAGGGAATGCTGGGGATGCCCCAGGAGAAGCTTCTCTCCCTTATTATTTCTATCCTTATAGATTATTTGTGTCTTCAGAGGCCCTGACAGTTGTAGCAACTTTATGTCAAAATAGTAGTAATGTGTGGACATAGTCTATCTTGTACAGTATGTGATACCTGAATGACTGAGAAAGTCCTTAATTCTATTTGTTGATAGTACTGCATGATGATTAAAATTTTGAATGAGAATTTAATATTTTCCTGATATACTGGAGGAACGGCTTGAAATAGCAGAATGTAATTTAACAATACCAAGTGAAAATTGTTACATTTCTGCGTCGAATCTAAGATAGCAATACTCAACTCTTGCTAAAATCGATGGAGAAAGGAAATCATTAAGGGACAATGCATAGTACAACAAAGTACACTGCCACACAGTGTAATGAAGAGATATCTCTATGAGCCACGTGTCTTAGCAGCACTAACTCTTTGGTGCTAGCTAATGTAATGGCTATTTAGTATAGCAAGGTGTTCTCGTGACATTTAGAGGTGTGTGTTAAAAATAAGTCAGATAATTTACAACCAGCTAGTAAACACAGATCTGCATTTCAAAAGTCTATTGGTTAGTGACTGTAACTAACAGAAAAAAAATATTCTAGACTGTAATAATTTTAGCTTCTTTTCTGTTTCTGCCCCTGCCCCCTGAAATATTCTTTTGGACAAAATTACTTTGAGGCCAATGCTACCCCTCGTTTCCCTCTACCTCTGCATCAGTGCTCTATTTTGAAAGAGCACAGCTCATCACCCTTGTACTTGACACTTTCAGCTTCAATGAGCACAGTTGGAGAATACTGTAAGAGAAAATGGCACACTGTCTGGACCATGCAAGGGATTTTGGCTCTTAATTCACATTGCTATACAGTGCATTTAAAAAAAAAGTCAGCAATGATTTGCTTAGGAATCTTTTTGCCATAATATTACTTCTATTTTACTCATTCTCAAAGTCAGCCTAATTCAGACACTCAAATATACAAGGTACATAAAAACAATGATAAATATATCAACACATGTTATAAACACCACTTGATGTTCTAATAAACCAAGTAAAACCTATACTTAATACTTGAAAGCTGCTCTGAAAGTAATGCCTCCTATTTTATTATGTTGGTCCATGATGTCAGAGGCAGATGTTGGTGGTATGGCAGTAGTGGCTGAACCTTCCCATCAATATCCCATTGCATGTTGTTGCCATGTAACAGATGACAGCAGAAGGGCAGTCTAACAAAATGGCGTCTGACTTGGAAGTGTGTCTGAAGTAAAGGTGTGGGATTTAATTCCTCAGTATGGAAAAAGTGGCACCCATTGACATTCACTGATGTTTGCTGAATGTTGATGGAGACGAAAAAGCAGGTGTGAGCACAGTGAGACATTAGGTGGTGCATTTCAGCAGTGGCAACACCAACAGCGTGTCACCTCAGCTGGTGCAGATTTTTCCTGAGTGCATCATGCAGGCTCTTGTTCATCACTGGTGAAAAGGTATAGCTAATGATTGTGCCTAGGTTAAAAAGTTTTTTTGTACCTGAAAATTTGCTCTATCAAATAGTGTTATTGTGCTCTTTGGAACTATTTTAGTTTCCATGGAATTAATCAGGATGCATTACTTTCAAAGAGAAACTAAGTTGAGGAGAATGACTCATTTATTCCCATAGGTGTAAGTTAAGCAACTGTCACGAATTTAACATCAATTTATAGCAATTACTGGCCTGGCATTATATGCTAACTCTACCTGGCTTCCAATTCAAATCAAAGAACACTCTGATGTCATGCGTTTTATTAAAAAATATTTATAACTACACAGTACTCTGAGGTCTAGAAACAGATTCATACCTTGGGGAAAGAAGCAAACAAAATTCTACTGGAAAAGCAAAACTACTGTTTAATGCTCAAAGCCTCAGTGGTCTTATATTTGTAATTAACCCAGCAATCACAAAATCCTCATACTAAAGGCTAAACATATCTCAAAGACTCTTTCTTTCAGGACAAAACAATGCTACTGAAATGCTGAGTTCTGAATGTTCTTCAGGTCCTTGTTGAAAGCCAAGACAGCTCTGATTTACATCTGAAGAAACTACTAAGAACATAAGATTCACTATCATTTCAAAGCCTACTCCTGCTTTTTGATTTCTTAGTTTCAGACCTGAGCTCAAGGCACTGAGATCATTGAGCAGAAGGCTGCTGGCCACTCTGCGATGCCAGTGGAGTCAACGGGAGACAGATTTACTCAGAAAACCAGCAATTTGTGTCTCAAGTTCTCATCCATAGTCAAAAACTGACTCTGTAAGACAGACTCATTTTCTGTTTTAACTCTCCAATAAAAACAATCTTCCTGGTTTCTAAATTTGTTTTTTTACATGAAGTAGACTTTTCTGCCTACTGCATGTAAGCGTGAACTTCCTGGAGAAACTTTATAAGCAAGCTCGCAGAACTTGTATGGGAACCATAACATTAGAATTCCATAGCTAATTTTTCTACCTTTTGGAGAGAAAAAAAAAAAAAAAAAAAAAAGTAACACCAGCAAATGATATCTGGGGAGTAGAATAGCTAAATGTTATGGGATATTATATATCTGTATGCATCCTCATTAAACTATCAATGTAGAACTCGAGTGTTCCTCTCTATTATTTCCTTTAGAGTCTTTTCACTTATTACTAAAATGAAGGTGTTTGAAAGGCCAAAGAGATACAATAGTGCCCTTTCCTTTTGCCACTCTTAGAGTTCCTTCCCCTCCCCTCGAGATTTCCCTTTCAGTTACATTTATTTCAAAGAATTTTAACATCAAGGACAATGTGGTACTCAGTTATTTGACTGAGGTAGACAAAGGGTAGGCTTCATGCACCGTTGCATATTAAGCAAAAGAGCAGGAACACTATTTTCCAAGTCCTAGATAGAACTGAATTTAAACAAACTCTAATAGTTAACCAATTTCAGAGCAAATGAGATGTTACACACTGAAGCTGTTGTTGATGATGGTGCACTGCTTGTGATTGGATCTCCCTCAGTGCTTGCAATTGCTTTTAATGCAGTCTTAGAAACATTTTCAAGAATCGCTTTACCTGGCCCTAGCAGAGGAAAGAGAAATGAAAAGAAAGTCTGCAACATCAGAACAAGTCTTTCTGGAATTGAGTTCACTCTGAAACTTGGCTACTACATTTAACAGAACAGGATGAGCTCAACTGTTCTTTTTGTTTGTTTGTTTGTTTTTTCTTTATGCAAATTATTTCTGTCAGGTAATAAAGTAAACAGAGAGAAAATGCTGAGACTGCAGCACAGACTGCAATACTGTTGGTAAGCTCTGCTTACCATCTCTGAACGAGATGCAATCTCCTTTCCTTTTTGTATTGATGAAAGCTAAGAGATGTTTTTGTGTTTCAGACCAAACAGGGAGATCTACACAACTTAAAATATTCTTAAAATGTGCTTCACCTCTTGTCAACCTCAAGAACGTGGGGTTTTTTTTGTTTGTTTGTTGTTTTTTTTTTTTGCAAATGTTCCCTTGGTTACTCAGTGACTACCAGAGGCGATCTATTCAGCATTAGTCAAGGCTGTAGGAAGAACCCTCCAAAAGTATTTCGCACTCTGCCATCAACTTCCTTATTGTCTACAAGTGAACCACTTCAGGCATGGCTGCAGTGTACAGTCAAGTACAGCATGGAGATTCCAAGCTGATACATTTGCAAGGCATTACTTAAGAAGGAACAGAAAATCATGAGATCTGAAAGCAATCTGGCCACATCTGACACCACTGTGCCAGACCTTGTAAGTTCATTCTTATATCATTACAGTTCATTTGCTCAAAGGCTGTGCTGAGATTGTTCTGTTTCTGGTTCTGAAGCAACTATGAACACTATTACCCCAAGGAGGTATGTTTCACACTTCACTGCACAGTGCAGACATGCCAGTAGTCTACCTCAGCCTTGAAATCCTACCTGTAATTCTACCTGTAAAGTAGGGACAATGATTTGACCTATAAAATATAAAGATGTAGAAAGTAATGCATTTTGACAGTTTCCCTACAGTTCAGTATAGTGATGAGGGCCAGATGAATAATGCAGATGTTTGAGCATTGTTGCAAGACTGCAAAGAGTCCTTAAATTTGATTCCTCAGAGTCAGTGGATACTTTTGAAAACACCACTGACTTCGCCAAGTTCTAAGGTGATTGTAAGGCCAGTACTGATGTTAGGACCTGGAGGGCACTCAGAAACATTAACAGCCCTGAGCAGCCTCACTTGTGAAATTCTCCCTCCCCAATTCCTCCACAGTCAATAGGCTCAGGGGCTTCAGGCCTGGAAATTCAGTCCTTCTCTGATCTGTGCTGCAGAGATGCTGGTTCTCAGCATTAACATCACAGCATTATCTCATGCAGACTTTGTTGGGACCGCTCAGATGAGGCAAGGTCTCATTCTTTTGCCATGCCTGAGGTTGTCGCATAGTCCTGACTCAGCCCCTTCAGGTGTGTGTGTGTGGCAGGGAACTCCTTGGCTGCTCCTCTCCCACTCCTCTTCATGGGCTGCTAGCCTTTGTTGCTCCCTGACAACTAGAACTAGATTCAAGAAAGCCTGGCCCTCCTGCTTGACATTTTTATCAGAACACATCCTACTCTCTTCAAACATCACGTGCAGCTACTGCAAAACTAGTCAGTTGGTTACTTCCATCCAGTTTCAAGCAGTAGACTTATGCTGTCTCTCTGGACTCAGGATGGTTGAGAAACAAGGTGGCACCAATGACACTGAAAGGCAAGACACAGAAAGCTTCAGTCACCCAAGTCTTGTTGGCACTGAATTAGAAATTACAGTTATTCATGTTCTCAACGTTATAAAAAGCCAGGGTTTTTCCTTCATGCAGCTAGAAAGGTGAGGAAATTGATAGTCTGACCATGTGGTAAAGAAGACAGAAACAGCCTCCAGCCCTTGGGGAAATTAATTCTTGGAGACTGAAAACCTCAAATTACCCAAAGGAGAATATTGTTTAGCATTGTACTGTGAATCACTAACAGGTAACTCTACCCCTATATGTTTCTCTTAGATGCAATATATATCTTTTAATCATTTTCTGTTTATCATAAAACTACCAATGATAGCAGCTTGAAATCTCAGACTGAGACTGTCTAAATTTTTTTGCATTGCTCTTCAGACTTCTTTAAAACAGTGTTTGATTTTCTTTGGACTCAATCTGCCTGAATTTCAAATCAATCAAGAGGTACAATGTTGTGTTCACCCATTTACTCTTTTAGTTACAGGCAGGGGAAGATGACTCCAGTGGGGAGTTGCAAAATTACATTTGTTTACTAACTTTTTACCCATACCACAGATATGACTTCTCCTAGTGATTATTCCTCCTATTTTAGGAGAATCACACCTATCTGTGTGCACATAAATCTTAGCTAATTGGAAAATTTATGTCCAGTGAAGATATTTGCATCTGTCTGCTTGTATAGAAACAGCTCCTTGACAGGTTCTACAAACTATCAGTCTGGGTCAAGTTAAACTGTAATAATTGCTTCACTGACTTTAAAAGGAACATACTCTGATGATGTTACTACTGCAGCAATTTGGTGTAAACCCATCACCATAAAATCCTGATTCCTTCTGTTATATCTATCTCTACATGTGCTCTCATCTGCTTTGTCACTAAAAATAGAATATTGCATATATCTACTGCAAAGATAACTCTTAGCATCAAATATCTCTTTTTCTCCATCTGGTGTTTTAACTCAATTAAAAAATTAGAATGCGAGTGACTGATGTAGATATAATAATTAGACCTACTTTCCTCTTCTGAAAGGACTCAGTTTGCAACAAAAGAGCATGCACTTTAAAAGTGTAATGAAGACGTTAGCTAGATGATCCTTACTACATCTCTACATGGTAGCAATTTCTCTCTGCTTACTCATTTTTCACAGTAAGAGAGATACTTAATTTTTGTCATCTCATGGCCTTGCACAAGATGAGGATAAGTGATATCTTTTGTGGAGTGGCATGTTTATGCCTTGTAGCTTTGTGCTTTTCATGCTAAAGTTAAAGGCCAGCTTTCTAGGATGGGGTCAGCGGCACTAAGATACAAAGTTGACTCAGAGACATGTAATATTCACAATTCCAAGAGTTCTCCTTTGTTTCTGTATAGAGTTGTTTCTGCTGTATGTTGTTTCTCCTTTGGTATTCCCCTGCTTTGGTTATCTCTGTACTTCTTAAGTTACAGATCCTGGATCGCTTTAAAATGGAAAAGCCCTAAGCAGTGTTCAGAAATGTTCTCTCTTATATTCTTTACTGGAATGGTCATTGTGAGATTGCTGCCTTTGAAGAAGAGTTAGGTAAGACATCCTTCAAATGAGGAGACAACTTACTGAAGATCTGTAAGGCATATGCAACTTTGAACATACATAAAATAAGGAAGACAATTGCTTTGGGAAGACAATTGAAGAAGTAAGCTGGTATACCTTTAGTCCTTCTCAGAGGAGAACTTCTAGCTTGGCTTTTAGTCTCCCCTGAAACAATCCATCCTAGGATATCAACACAAAGGAGAATGAAAAAGAAAAAAAAGCTTTCCTTGTTCCTTTAATAAGCTACGTGCAGAAAACTGAAATACTGCCAGGGATGTGATTCACACTAGAACATCCTTTCAGCCTTCTCTGCAATGCTCCAGTCCTTGTCAATGTCTGGTTTCTCTGTCAGACAGATTTAGTGCAGTGAACTTAAAAGTCCTGGTGAAGAGACTAGACATAAACCTTCCGGTTTGTTGCACAATGGAATTACTCTGTTGTAAACGAGCAATGAATAAATGTACAAAAGAAAAACATCACTTTTTGTGGGTTCATATACTATACAATAAAAATATATAGTTCCCCAGTTATAGAATCAATCAAAGTTTTTCAGCCATCCCATATTTTTTACATGCCTTCACAACTGTGAGCAGCTGCGTCTACATATGTTCCTTGATTTTATGCCCACATTACAATGGCATCAAAGCACTCCTAACTGTGCAGGCACATTTTTTATCCACCCCCAGCCTTCTGTTGCTGGGACAGTAAATGCATTTGATGGAAGAGGAACAGGGGCATAAGGATAGTGTAGAGTTTGTGAATCAAAGACTCTAATGGAAGTTGGGAGGAATAAATCATATTTCCTACCAAACTATGGCACAGTATCCTGTATTTAGCATTCAGTCAAACGTACTCAACTTGGCAGGTCTGTTTTATGAAAAGGCTTGTTTATCTTTCATGATGGAATAAAATTTTATATAATTACTTTGGTACCAAGATCTTTTAAATTTATTTTTTATAAATGATGGCAACATTTCTCATAGGTGAAGCACAGAAGAATATATAGTAACTGATCCTATTTAATTTGTCAACATCAATCTTCTAAGAGAACAGGGCATATGCCATGCTGTACCTGAAGCAAGTTTCTGAAAAAGGGAGGCCTTAATTTAGGAAAATAATTGAGTATTCATCTAATGTATTATACAAAAGCCAGCTACAATTTTAATCCAGTTGTAATTAATTCTTCGCATGTTTTAAAATCTGTCATTTTTAGACTTTGGAGAAAATTCCCACATTAATACTTCTGGACAATTATAAGTACTAAACACAACTGGCTTTTCAGTCTGCATGATGAACTCCATTTGGAGTTGAAGGACTTTTCTGCTTGCATGCATGATGGCAAACTTCAGGCTTTGTCTAGTCTCATTTTAAACAACTGATGTACTGAGGTTCTACAATCTCCTCCTGAAAATAGCCAGCCACAAACCAATAAACACCTTCGGTAGGAAATACTTCCCAAGTCCAGCCATAACCATAGCTCTCATTCATTGAGAAGGCCAAAGAAGAGAAGAGAAGTTTGTGTATCTTTAAGCATCAGATAAGGAGAAAACTTTTTTGCACTCTTAAAGTTCTTGTGTATCTCTGCACAGAGGGGCAGAAGCAAGAAGTGTATATTCCACCAATGAATATGCTCAGCCCACAGCATTACTTGTGTGCATACAAACATGTTCTTCAAGTCAAACAAACAGCTTTTAGCAAGCTTATCTAGACATAAAGGCAAATCATAGAATTATAGAATTGCTTGGTGCGGAAGAGTCCCCAAGAATCATCAAGTTCCAACATCCTTGCCACAGGCAGGGCCACCAATCTCCAGATCTGGTTCTAGACCAGTCTAGAATGAATTGGAGTAGCTTATATCTCACTAGAAACAAGTTAGCACAGAGCACTGACTGTAATTGAAGCTGCTGTAAGCCAAGAAATCTCAGCACGAGTCCATAATATTGGTTCTCTGAAAGAGTATATTTTTGTCTCTCAACTGAATTCATCCACCCATTACAGAATCCATTTTTAAGGCATTAATGATGCATACACATTCAGATGTCTTTGCCAGTCTTCACTGTGTGTTTATCATAAAAGGAGTTAGAAATAAAAGGAACTAAGGGAAGGAAAAGAAGTGGCAGTACAAGAATCCTATTTAAGTTACTGCTATCAAATCTCATCTCACAAGCTAAATAGTACAGTAATTAGGCAGTATTTACAATGCAATAAAGATAAAGCTAATTACTAGCAATGTGAACTAGATGAGGCTCTTTCTCAGGGAAAGTATTCAAGGATCAGCCCAGAGCAGTAAATCCTTCAACAACCTCATTTGTCAATTATCTTCATAATCTTATTTCTTATAATGATTATCTAATTTATTACTACCAAACAGGACAAATCAGGAGGTAAAACAACTAAGGCAATCAAGTGAGCTGGAGTTTGTCAGCCAAACTGTACGCAGGATTCAGGTGAGCAAGAAGATGCCATGGCAGTTGATACCAGGGGCAGAAAATCTCAGAAGAAAAAGGCTGCATATTGGACAGGACTGTGAGTAGTTATTATGCATTAAAAATTCATGGAGTTCTTTTCCTCAGAAGGTCTTCCTACTAAATATCATGGATTTTCCAGCCACATTTAAATATTTTAAAGGCTTTCAGAAGAGACTGATAAGCTAGATGATTCTACTAAGCCAACTGATAAAAACTAGCTTAAGTATATAATCACTTGTTCTAAAATTAAACACAGAACATTGATTTTTAAAAGCCACACCAATTAAAGTCAGAGTATACAGGTTGTAACACTATAACATTATGGAAAGTACAGCAATGATAGCAGGGTGACAAAGCCTTTGGCTGAAGAAATGAGGACAAGGCCAAACGCAGCAGCCATGGATGCAGGGACAGAGGAAAAAAATTTGCTTACCTTTGGAAGGCTTCAGGTATGCAGGAATCTCTTTCCAGCAAGACACCTTTGTCTCTACTGCCAACTCTTACATGAGATCTGTGAAGGGGTAGATCCTGGCTTCACCTGTTCTGGTCACGCAGGTGTACTTCATGCACCTGAGCTCCCCTGGACTGGCCCTGCCCTCCCACCAGGTGCTCAATCACTGGTTCAGGCTGTGACTTAGCTTTTTTGCTACACAGGTGTTTCTGTGCTCTCTAGAGCAGTCTTTGGCTGTGAGCAAGGAATAATCTTGTGGTATGCTGATTTTTCTGGTATACTGGATTCTCAAAAGTAATTAAACAAGTTTCTTAATGATATCTTCTTAAATTAACCAGACACAGGTAAAATCAAAGATCATCACACAGTTAATTTGATTAAGCAGCAGAAAATAATGGGAAGGAATGGCCAGTGTTGCCAGTGGAAGGAGGTCAACCAATAAAGTCTTTGTCACGCCTTACATTCTTCAGCATAAATCTACCTTGAGAGAAGGCAAGTTCTGTTTCAGAAAGCTTTTGACTCTGTATTGTGCAACACAGAGTTGCCTGACCCAAATCTAACTAAACTAAATTGTAGATAGAGAATATTACAGTCCCATACAAATGTTAGCTTCAATTCTAAAAGTAGTTTAAGTGCATTAATGTAGTATTGCAAGTAGACCAAGCAGTTCTGCTTTTCAACTGAATATTACTCGTCAAAGTGCATTGCCATGGCATTCTATATAGCTGTAGATGGTGGTCTCTGCTGGCCACAGAATTCCTGTACCAATTTCCTCTACATGTGACTCAGACAGGACTTGGGAGAAGACAAGGCAAAGGAAACTTAAGACCCACAAATCTGAAGTTACACTTAAATCTCTACAAAATTTTAAAATGAAAAAGGAAACATGGAGCAGGTTAGGAAAAGGACTAGAAAGTATCCAAGAAATACCTCTGATAACTAGGTTTTGATTCATAGACATCAATCTCCTGAGCCAACCATGGACCTTATCAGTAACTGCCCCTCCACCCCAGACATGTGCTGTAGCTGTTAGTCACACACCTGAGGAAAGCTTGCTGGTGGCAAAAAAAAAGCCTGCAAATGAGAGCTTGAGTGATACCTACTGGCCAGAGATAGCAGTTGGCTAGTGCCTGAAGAAGAGGTAAGAGTGGAAAAAGAAATTGAATTAAAATCATTATTAGCAGTCTTGGAATGGAATGACTGAATCTTTTCCTGAGCTGTGAATACATACTGAGACAATAAAATATGTTTTCTAGGGATGATATAGCAGAAATGAATTACCAGCAGTGATGGCTATTTCATTTTTTCCCACTTTCTCAGCCCTGTAACATTATTACCCTTTTGCACTGTCAGATATTAAAATTATATTAATGATCAGGAACTCTATTAAGCTGTCTGAAAATGAAATAATATGATAGCGCATTTGAAGGTTACAGACAGGCCTTGGGTGTAATTCACTAAGCTCTAATCTACCTGCTTGGTACCCTACCAGATGAAGCAGGAAGCTTTGTTTTTGGGACACAAATTACTAGTAAGATATATGCTCCTCCACCCCCAAACATACACCAAGCAATACTCTTAACAAGTTGACAACTGGAATAAGGCAGTCATCCAATAACAAACCAGCCTAACAGACAGTTTTCTTCACTGCATCATCACAGGCTTCCTTAGTATAGCTATGAGGAAAAGTACATTGCCCCTATTACAAGCAAAGACTCTCAGCAAGAATCAGAGATACAGCCTTTTGACACAGTCAAATAGTTACAAGGAGTACCCTAGGTGACTCTGATTTCAGTAGTGACAGAATCCCTTGACAAAGGAATTCTTCTACCAGTGAGAACAAGACTAGCAGCCATTTCTCACTCTTCGTTCCATAGAAGATATTTCTTTGTCACTTCTTAGGACATCTTATGCTTTTTATGCTTAATCTTTTCTAAAGCTCAAGCGAAGCCTTAATCCAGAGTCAAAAGAAATTACTGCTCAAATCAGGCTCTCTTGGAAAGGCTGAACTGTGATAGGTGTGTCATAAATCATATAGAAAGGTGGGGCTCAAATCCTTTCTGAAATTTTATTATCTAATTTTGTCATCTCTGAAATGAAGAATGTCTTATCTGAAAGGCAATAAAATGAAGGAAACCCTATAAAAGGATGTTCATAATGTAACTGATTAAAGTGTTTTTCCAGAGTTCAAGTTTTTGTTAAAAGGGATAATTCACTTGGTATTTGGTTGGGAGGGCATAATAGAAGGAGAAAGTAGGGAAGGAAGAAAACTACTGTAATATTTGCTGAGAAATATCTTCAGATTTTCTGTGCTTCTACTTCTTCAATCAACAAAAACCTTCATTCTACTTTCAGACCCTTATTAGGTCTCAGTGTTGCACAAGATCACAATTCTCACAGATGATTACTGTAGATTAGCTTAGATAATTATGTGATGCTTTCAAAATAACAAAGTGACAGGAATACTCATTATCATCTTGTTTTTATAATGGAGGTATAAATATTTGAAATCCTTTGCTCTGCAATGAAGTCAACCCCAGAGGAAGGACAGGATGCATGAGGTTTACTGCAGAGAGAAAGGGAACTACTGAGAGAAAAGAAACTTTTATATAAATTGTCAGGACTCTCCCTATAATGGATATATACAAATATTGGCAAGAATGATTTCCATGCATGTTATGCTACATACTGTGCACTTATTTGATGTAAATAATCTAGATAAAAGAACATCAACTGTCAAGATTACTTCCAATTGATAAGTCAATGAATGTAATGTAGGAACATTTGAGAACAAAACTGAGAGTCTGGTACTTGAGTAAAATGACTTAGTGTATAATGTGATAATTCCTTGTGTGGAAAAATAACATTTTAATTTCACTTTCCCTTGTTATTCAGAGTGTCATTTGGAGATCTATGTATTCAGCTAAGGTATTCAGCTAATCAGACAAACTCTGCTATAGACAGTATTCAGGCTTCTCTGCATGTGTATTAATATTATTGGCAGTATTGGTACTATATTTTAATTCTATTTACTGGGAGTATTAGTACTATATTTTAATTCTATACATTTTTCTGAGTGAAAGATGGCAGAAAAAAGCTTTTTCAGACTTAAGTGCTACTAGCATTTCCTATGATTGTCAAACCTATCAGTTTTATCAACAATCACTGCCAACTTCCCCAGTTCTCCAGTATAATAGGCTCACGTTGGCTAGCAAAAGTGCAGAAAATTCCAGCAACATACTGCACAAAGTCCTTGATTATTATACAGTTGCTATGGTGAACTTCGCCACCCTCTAATCTGTCTTTCCTTAAAAAAAAAAAAAAGAAAATGTGTTTCAATTCTACCCTGCCCCCCCAAAAACAAACAAACAAACCCCAAACTGCCTTTCCCACTATGGGTTACTTCTGTAAATCTGGAGAAAATGTAAGACAGTTACATATCCTCTGCCAGTAAGAGATTTTAGAATTATGGAGGTGCTACACAGAGATATAGCTTAATATTGTAAAAAATTGCAATTTTTCACATTAATGGGGAAGCAGGCATTTCATTATATGCCATACATGGCAGTTAACCAATGCTAATGACATGGAAAGTTAATATCATAAGGGTCTCCATTGTTCTGTCCTCTCCAGAAAACTTTGAAATCTCTCTGAGATGGAATACAGCGCTTGACAGTTGTGAAATACATTTGCCATCAGTTGGTAACCTCAAAATACTTCTAAAAAATAATCATCCTTCTGAGTAAAGTTTGTATTTTCTAGTTCAAAATGACTGTTTAAAATCCAGATTCTTTAGAACAATTAGAATGGAAAAAACATTATGGTGCTTTTCTCTTTCTTGAATATAATTGAACTAAATCCTGAATTAAATCCTGAACTAAATACTTCAGATTTTATTTGAGCCTTAATTAGGATAAACATCCACTAAATTCTGTGAGAGATTAAAAACAGTTCAGAAAATATTATCTAATTGCATCTGTACAGCCAATAAATAACCTCATAACTATTTGTAATAGATGTAAGAGATATCAGCCTGCGTGTCTGATTTCTACTTCACCTGCTGTGGTAAGCCATGCATCAGCTAAATATGAAAATTATTATTAATATATTAAACAATTCATAGATATAAATAAAACACTCAAACTCATGAAGAAACCATTTGTATTACAGCAGCATTTGTATATTGGCTTTAGGGACAATTTGCCCATCTGGGAGGGGTGATAACAATTCACATCCTTAGGACAGGTGGAGAATTTGGTAATCAGTCACCTTTGGATGAAAATCTGATACTGAATGCATACTTCCCAGCCTGGATTAGAGTCTTGTGAGGGAGCTGCTTACACATCAGAGAGAGGTTTCATGTAACAGTGCACAGAACTCAAGCACGTTAGTCTCACACTGCCACCAGCAAACCAACAGCCAGGAGGTTGGTGCAGTAACAGTGTGGTGCATGCAGGAAGAAAAAGCACCATATACTGAATCTGACCTTAACTAATAGCGATATGCCATCTTTCTGAAAGAGACATATCTCTTTTGCCTTTGAGATGATGGTGCATTGCCATTTTCTGCAAGGATCAGAATAATTGCACTGGCTAATGTATACTCTCCCAAAGTCTCTGGTACATCCAAGATTGTTTTTCCCTATCCAGAACAGTTAATGAACAGACAACACATAACTGCTGCACTGCATCCTTCACTAGCTGCTTTCCCACAGTTCAGCAATGATCCCAACAGCCATTCTTTTTTCTACTTATTCTTTACTTTCAACATACGTGACCATGCAATAGAGAAAAATTTGATCAGTGTCAGATGCCTGTTTTCCCTACACCAAAAGTCTCAACAGTTTTTCCGACTTTCCCACATTTTTTTCAAATAATTTTGTTTCTACAAAATACTTTGTCTTACTGACATGAAATTAAAAAAAAAAAACAAAACAAAACACCAGCTTAAAGCTCTTGTTCCTTTATTAGTCCACTTCAGAGACAGGATTGGGGCTCTGCTGCATAATTTGAGATTCAATCCAAGTATTCAGAAGG